TATTGCAGATTTTAAACTGCATTAACAATATTCCAGATGCAAGAGACATCTGAGTGCTGAGGCAGTTACCCAGCCTCCAAGGGGATTTAATTTTAAAAGTACAAAACTACATTATGACTGCAGAAAAATGAAAGAAGCTGGAGCATCCTCACTCCTTGGATGTTAAAAGAGGACTCCTATTATTGTCTCTGATCACAGGTTTCATGAAGACAACAATCACACACACAATCAGCAAATACAATCTCGCATTGTGCAATAAAAACTCACTTTCAAAAAGAAATAAAATCAGCAAAGAAAAGTTGCTTCGCCTATGGCGCAATTCCCGACACGCAAACTTCCGAAGCAAATAACTCCGCGAATTTTATACTTACAAAATTGCGCAACATCTTAAATTGAAGCTAAAGATGTTGTTCAACTTTTCTTGTATCATTTAAAAATTGACTCAATTGATACATCTTGAGATATTCTCACTTTTCTAAACCTAAATTTTCTTCAGTGATAAGAATCTGGAAAACCTTCATGCCAGATTCCTATCTCACTGATGCACAAGCTTTTGGTGCAAACAGTGACTTCAAAAGCCTTGTTTCTAAACTTAGATGAATGAATTTTTTTCTGCAACAGCCAATTGTTGGTGTTAACTCTGATGTTTTGCACTCCTTATTCCAGCTATGCTGATTATCATGACTGGTGTAAGCTGACAAATATCTATAGGAATACCGTAACGGACCACCAAGGGATTTGGGTTTCATGCCACAGGCATGTGTTGGCACTCCTGGCAGGCACCCGCATAACCCTGACTGCACTGATCCCAACAAAGAACATTGCCTGTCTTTCCTTGGATGGACATTCCCCTGTACAAATGATGAAAAAGATTTACAGCCCATCTAACCTAACCTGACCTAACCAAACCTATCGTAACCTAACCTAACACATGTGAACACAGTGAATGAGTACAACATACAGCCTTTCAACATAAGAAATTGCACAACAATTAGTAAGAGTTGACTACCTCAGGCATTTTTTGGGAAATAAAATATTTCCTCCCTCCTTTCCCAAAAGATCTCCAAGCTCCTCCAAGCGCAGCGCAAGAATAACCAGAAAGGATAAATTGTGCAAGCAACAATTTGAAAGTGACAGCCAAATTCCAATGATCAGCATTCCTTCAGGAGAAAATCTGATAAATATAAAACATCACAAATGCAATCTTTTCTATAAAAGAACAAATATTCTAAACAAATATTTGTGGGATCATTTTAGGATCCTTCAAGAACAATTTCCAATTTGTTTGATTAACTACAACAGGATTGTTTTTGCTGGAGTTAATATGGTAAAGAAATTTGATACTAAATTTGAGGAAGTTCATGAATGCTGCTCAGTATCAATGGTAACCAACTTTGCTTTGAATGACTGAGGGCTGTCACCAGCAAAGATTGTCAGGTCCCTTCCATTCAGGGCACCCTACAAGATATAATGAAGTATCTGACTCTTTTCAGATGAGTCTGACCTTTTGGATAACCTATGTCCAGTCAGTTAGAAACAGGGGCTGAACCACCACATGACAGTTTCAGGGCTTATCTCTAACTTAATGTCAAGTCAGCACAAAAAGAGGGACTGAATGAGCAAATGTTGCTTTCTCTATTCAACTTCAATTTCTCACATGTGTCCTAGATTGGATCAAATCCAGCAGAAGCAAATTGCTCACATATACAGATACATTGTACATTGAACTCCCGCACCTGAAAATTTGGCTGACTGCAGTGATTTGCTCAGAAGCTTCAACCAACACATCTACCCAACCACCAGTCACCAATTAGTGAAAATGAAGTGCAAAACTGGAAGCATTTAAAGCCAAAAAATATTCCAGAGCTCACACAATTATTTTGTTTGCAAAGCCAGTTGTTTTTCCTTCTGTGGCCAAAACACCACTTCTTCAATGCCTGCAGAAGAATTAAATCATTTTTTAAGAAATCCTGCACTTCTTGGAGAGGGGGGATTAAGTTTTAAAATTTTTGTCACAAATATTTCCATAAGCAGTCAGGAATGAAAATGACGCTCAAAGCAGGTTAATGGATGAAAAGAGAAAAGAAGTAGAAATTTCCATAGAAGAAAATACATGAGTCCTACCGTGAATTATTTAGATTTTAGACGCTGAACGATTGAAATACTGTAGACCTGATTCTCCTTCTACAAGTTTAAAACGTACAGAAATAAAGAAACCAAAGTAAACGCCACGGTAAAATGAATGCCACATTTATCAACGCATTTCTTCGTCAGTTTTCATCATGCTGCCCATTGAAGACAAGAACTTCGGGCTTATTCAAAATGCTCATGAAAAACAAACGATAAAATTCGGGAACTGCAGTCAAATAATGGCAAAGTGGTTGCAAAATGTTTCCAAAAATATACTACCTCAAGTTCACAGCAAAGAAGCAACCAAAAAATATCAAGGATCCTGATGCGTGTTCTATACCTCAAAATGTCCTTCCTGGTGAAGAAGGTGGCGTCTTGGTACTCTTCAAGTTGCTCAGGCGTGAACACGGATTTCCGGTTTCCCATATTTATAAAGCAGTCAATACTTCCGTCTGGTCGATTCACAATAGGAATTTCCAATCGCCGTCTCCTACTATACTGTACGTGCACACACGAACCCCAAGACCACCAACACCCACTCGCTGGTCCAACAAGTCGGCGACTGACGCTTTTATGGACAAGACTGTTATTGTCATCGGCCTGCTGCCTTTATTACTGGCAACGCCCAGTCGTTTTGTTCGGGCTGCTGGAACCCCCCACGTCAACGATTCTCCTCGTGCCCTGGGTTGTTTGCACGGATATACGAGGCGTCATCATCCCTGTCATGGGCGGAAAGAAGAGCTGCTGAGCCGAGATTCTCCCCTTTATTTCATTATATTTATCTTTTGCGTCTCACTGTTTGCAAAACCAAGTGAGACACAGAGAGATAGAGAGAGAGAGAAGATGTCGCGTGACGTGGCGGAGTTTGGATGAGATAAACGACTGCACTATTGTAAATATGGCGAGGACATTAAAGCGGATATGAAATTTTCCTTGCGGTTCGTGACGGTGGCTGAAATTGGAACTTGGCCGGAAACCGACCCCCCTCCCGCTGCTTTACTCTCCTCCCATCCGGCACTGATGAAATTACTCTACTATGCTGTTATACTCTTGTACTCCTGTAGAGGCGAAAAACGTATTCCGCAGTCCGCACGCGACGTTCCAGTATAATCGAGCAGAATACATATCTGTGAACGACGTTCAGTCACGCCGGGCGGGACGAGAGAAGAGCCAGCAAGGGTTGTACAGTACATTACAGTACCTGCTCCAAGCTCTACATTCCTCTTGCTGAACTTGAATAGCAAAGAAGACGGCGGAGGGTACATCCTCTTTGAAATCGAAAAGGCTTGCAATTTCGAGACCAGATTTGTCAACGCTGTTTCATGTCTTTCGCATTCATATGGTTGATGTGATGAGATAAGCCTCTCATAAAGTGAAGAATTTCCCGCAAGAATATAATATAAAAGATTCAAGTTATGCAAGCCTTTCCTGCCACCATGAAATCAGCTGCGAGCTACGCAGTGAGCACGGACCGCTACACCAGCATCTATCACAAACCCGATAATGATGTGAGCGCACAAGTTTTTTAAAATGTTAATAGGTGTCGCACGAAGAACATCAAGAATGGTCTCCGAAGAGCTAACCTGACGTAAGGTACTGTAAATTCAGTAAACATTTAAACGACCAATTATGTATACAGCTGTCCATATACAGTTCTGTATATTTCAGGAACAATCTTTTTTCGTATTCCAAGTCGTTAGAAATCCATGTAAGAACTTTAAGAACAGGATTAGTTCTATGACGTCTTCAAAATATCACGTTGCAGACATTTTCAGCATTTCCAATGCAATATTTATAGCTACACTCAAAACCTATCCAGGTCACCATTGACAGGTTTCTCGGGGATTGTAGATTCTTCGGAAATCCTACAAAGCGATTAAGTAAGCGTCAATCTAATCTAGCTTGCATTAAAGGGCATTGTGAATCCCTCAAAAAAGATTTCCGGCGAACCGAGGGTCCAGAAAAGACGCAGCTGCAATGACGCAGTCAAGCTGCTCGTGGAAACCCACTCACGCGAGATTGATTCCTCAAATTAGGCTCTGTATTTTTCCAGAAGTGAGGGTAGAACATGAGCATCCCCCGCAATCCAGCAGCGATCCATTTAGACTTCAAAGAACTGTACGATCCTTGCCTCTATAAGTGCAGGGAAATATAGATTCCCAGTTTTCAATGGAAGCTCCATTTCCAGCTAAAAACCATCTACCTGGAAAGAAGCCCAATGAACTACCATTTCCATAAACAGCATGGGCCAGAAAAAATGAACCACTTTTCTATTTGAAATAGCTTGTTAGCAAATCAAGCTGCAGCAATGAAAAGCAACCAATTTAAAGCTTTCTCAATTCCAATTTCAATGGTACATAGCTTTACGTCCCAAGTTGCATGGCATGGTCACATAAACCATTCGATTGAACTTTTTCCACAAAAAAGTTTTCAGTCAACTCCTTCCACTAAGGTGCTGTTCCTCAGAGCTGATTGTGTAGAAATAAATGGCATGCTGGGCCAGTAATTTAACCAGCAAACTCCATGCTGTCTACTAAAGGGTGCACAACTTACCAAAACTTAAAAGGTGGGGGGGAGAAGTGCAAAAATATTTTTGAGCAGCTGGATAATCCTTCACACCCAAAACCTCCATGCAGGCTTACTGAATGCCAGCCTCAAGGATACCTTCACCCCCTGCAATCCCTTTTTCGTTTGAATGACTGGGTGTGCTTAGCATTGGTCATTTTCATCTGAATCAGATAATTCTTTATTCTGACATCTGTATTATGTCTCCCATCTGTAATAATCATGAAATAGAAACTTATTAGATATTGATCAATTATGAAGAAAGTGATGGCAGGCCACTGGTCACTAAATGAGAATGATTTTCAGAAATCCAGTCTAAAAAAAGAAGTTCCATGCACAGGGTCACAGGAGCCATGAGGCTGGCATTCAGCAAGCTCACATTGGGTTTTTTCGAGTGGAGCAAAACATATCCTTCTGTCCAATTTTTTTTTTCACTTTTAACCCCCACCTCCTAAATTTTGGTAAGTTGTGCACCACTTTTAAGGAATCATGAAGTTTCATGGTTGAATTACTGGTCTAGAACACCATATATTCCTGAAAACAGCTGTGGAAAAGAGCAGGTTAGTGGAAGGAGATACCTGACAACTTTTTTTTGGAAAGTTTTCATTCAAATGATTCTTGTGACCCTGATTTGGCACTTTCAACCATGAAAATACATACCATTTGAATGGACTTTAACAAGCTTTCAACTGGCGTTTTTTATTGAATCACCTTGATTTGCTGATATAAGCTACTTCAATTCAAAACTGGTTCCCCTTTTTCTGGCCCACCCTGTACATTCAAGGTGTTAGCAAATTTTGATTCATGTAATATTCATATATTTTCAGCCAATGCATTCCAATCCAAGGGTACCAGTTCCTTGGATCTTGCCCATCTAGTGGTACCCTGGTTTACAAACTTCATTTTTTCCACAGCCCAGTCTGTAAACCGGGCAGTCTGTAAACTGAAATATCATCAGTCATAGCCTCATAGGGCAACATGTTGTCATTTTTAATTTGTTCCTAATTTGAAAATTGCAAACATATGTTTCCAGTTTAAAGGATTTGGAACTTTGTGGAAACTTTGAATTTGAACCTTCTTTTTTTTCAATTTTTGCATGCACAAGGATGCTTTCTGAATTTTCTTGTTTTAACCATGCCCAAAACTCAACATTTGACAGAGTTACAAACAAAATTTAAACATTTTTTTCAATTGTACAAAATTTGACGAACACTTTTCTACTTTGTCACTATAGCTGTTTCAATTTTCATCATTTTTAATGAAAAATATGTATACTTGTGAAGCATCAGTGCACAAGTCACCCACAAACAATTTCGAAGTTGAATAAAAAAAAAAGTTAGAATCAGCTAAACTGAAGAGTTTGAATTCTTGTTTTTGTTTTCCTTCCTGACTTCCCATCTTTAAAAACTTTTTAAACTTTTTTCTCGATCTTTTAGATTTCAAAAAACTTGAATTTGGAAAAAGTGATTTTAAAAATATTCAGATTCTATATTATATTATATTATAAGAATATTTACAAGTTAATTGGGCACTAAATTATTTTTACTGCATTGCAAGTTCAATGAAGTTTTCCCATTTTTCGAAACTTACAAAATTGAAATTGACAGATGCAAAGATTATAATCTTTGCCTCTGTCAATTTCAATTTTTCAAGTATTGAAAAATGGGAAGTCTAGAAGTTCAATGAAGTTTTCTAGACTTCCCATTTTTCGAAACTTACAAAATTGAAACACAGCTAGATTAGCAAAGATTATAATCTTTGCCTCTGTCAATTTCAATTTATCAAGTTTTGAAAAATGGGAAGTCTAGAAAACTTCATTGAACTTGCAATGCAGTAAAAATAATTTAGTGCCCAATCAACTTGTTCCCAAACTATTTAGGAGGGAAAATCAGGAAGAAACGCAGAAACAAGAATTCAAACTCTTCAGTTCAGCTCATTCTAATGTTTTTTGCTTTTGATGCAACTTTAACATTGTTTGTGGGGTGCCATGCACTCTGATGTTTGACAAGTTTACATATTTTTTCATTGAAAATGTTTAAAATTCTAAAAGCAAGAATCAAAAAAATTGAATGTTGTCAATTTTTGTTAAATTAAAGTTTTTTGATTTTTGGTTGTAATTCTGTCAAATTTCAAGATTTTGGCATGTTTAAACAAATAAAAATGAAAAACATCTTTGCACACCCAAAAATTGATGAAATATGAGAAAGGTTTAAATTGAATTTTTATTAAATTTCCAAAGTCAACAAAACAGGAAACAAATTATGGTCTGCAGTCTGTAAGCCAATTTAAGGTCCATAAACTGGACAGATTTTTTGAAATTGATGCGGTCTGTCAACTGAAAATCTGTAAGCCATGGTAGTCTGTAAACCAGGGATCGACTGTACAGTACATAATAATTGTCAGGTGATAGCCTACAACTGATGCAGAACTACTACAGGTGGTTCCTTGCTATTTGACCCTAATCCATTGGCACCCTAGTGCCAAATTTTTGAGCAGTTGAATTGTGAGACGCTGTGAAATTCAAAAATGAAAAAGCGGCCAAATCAGGTTGAATTGCAGGAGGTCAAATTGCAAGGTACCACCTGTACTCCTAACTTTTAAAATTTGGTTGAGGAAAAGAAGCAAAAAATAATGCCATTCAACAAAAAATTAGGAGAAATCTGTAAGGCATAAGAAGATTAGCAAACCAAGAATGATGCATTCATAAGTTTTGTTCCCCTTCAATAACGCTGTGTGAATGCTTTCAGAGTACAGTAAACGCATTACAATGAAGTCACTGGGATCAGCAAAATAGCCTTGCTGTAACAAAAAGTTCGTTATTCAGAACCTGAAGAAAACATTCTGCCTATTGAGCAGGAACT